AGCTGCTCCAAAGAGCTTCTCACGCCATTCACCGCACACCGCCTCGAAGCCACTGACTACGTCTCCGCAGACTCGGCCGGCTTCGCGATCCCGAAGTCGGCGGTCCCAGTCGCCTCGTTCGATCCACCGAGTCCCCTCTTCAACACCTTCTTCCTCGCGGCGGAGGTCGGCTACGAGTTCGCGAGCAGACCGGAGTCGTCGTGATGCAGTGGACGTTAGCTGCCGCGACTCATACAACGTATCGCTCAGGCCTCGGAGCGACAGGGTGATGTCGGATGTCTGCGACACAAGGGTCTGCAGCGAGACAAGAGGGTTCAGGGCCGGTGACTGGGAGGGGGTAGTGGGTCTCGAGGAGTGACGTGGCTGTTCCGGGAAAGGATAGGGGAGGTTAGGCAGGAGTTCTTCGTCGATGAGAGGAATGAGCGCATCTATAGCGTCTGAGGAAAGGAGCGGAAATGGCGAGAAAAGGAGAGGGTGGGTGAGGGTCTGAAGTGCCCGGGTCTGATGGGTAAGATGTGAGGTGATGGATGAGTGTGCGGTGATGAGTCTGAATGTAAAGAAAGATGTGTTAGCCAGCTATGATTCCGAGCAGACAGAACAGCCTGCCAAGTCACAGACCACAACAGATCCACCTACCTCATGGCGTTATTTTCAATCCCACTCTGCCCGCCAAGATCCCGGAGAGCTTCCACCGCCCGTTGAATAACGAAGTCATTCTCGCTGCCATTGTTCTCTAATCCGCGACGAGCCAGACTCTCAATCTCCGCCATCTGCATCTCTAGGCTAGGCGGCATATCCGCTTCCTCGAAATCCGAGTCATTCCCATAATCGGAGCCATCATATTGCGACTCGTGTCGCCGGTGCCGATGGGCACCATTACGGGTTTTGGGCCTCGGAGGCTGCAGGGAAGAATTCCGTTCCGACGAGTAGCCCGATGAGGGTGTGCGGGCCCCGGTGCCCATGCGGTGGTATGCATCTTCATCGTCACTGCGGTCCACGTACTGTGCGTCAGGGGCCCCAGTATCCTGGCCCGACGTGTATCCGTAACCACCTTCCTCCTCCTCCCATGCATCTGCAAGCTCATCTGCCAAGTTTCCTAGTCCGCCGCCTTCGTTTCCTGCACCGCCGAAGTCGCCCGACATTCTATGGGAGCCATTGAATGATTGAGTGTGGTGAGGGCGGACATCCACCGGAGAAGAGGGGATGGATGAACGAGGCGTATGAGGCGACCGAGGCGACCGGTAGGAGAAGCCGTTGGGAGCGTAGGTGCCAGGAGAAATGGGGTCGATGTCGATGTTGGAGGAGCGACTCCGAGTATGGCGGTGAGATATAGTCAGGGGAGGTGGGATGGACGGCATGTTGCAGGATTAAAGGAGGGGAAAGGAGAAGGACGAGGATGCGGTGTGCTCGTTTGAGAGTCAAGGGGATAGTTTGACGGAAAGACTTCGACGGTCTAAACAAGCGAAACAGGGGGTGGTTTGTTGTAGATTCTTTGCAAATCGTTAAGTGGCTGCCGCGAAGCAAATAACGAACAGGGGAACGGAAATCAATGGTGGATCGCCGACCGCATCACCAGGATGCTTTTCCACGCAGTCAGTTCTAAAGGACGGGGAGAAAGGAGGAAAAGGTAAAGGAACGAAGAATCGAGACCGGCTATCCCGAGAACGAAAGAGTCGAAAAAGAAATAGAGAATGAGCCGGAAAGAGAAAGAGAGAGACAGAGAGAGAGAGAGAAAATAGCAGAGACACCAACAATAATAATAATAATGAGGGGGGCACAGAAGGAGAGGGAGAAAGAAGCCCGACCCTCAAAAAGATCTCCTCCCCGTGACCGCCCAAGCCCCGATTGACTCGCCGATCAACTCCCCCAAATTGCTTCATCTTCCCCTCCATTTATTAGACTATCTTCTTGAAAACCACCGCTCACTTCTCCCGCAAAACACCACACCCACAATGAGCTCCATCCGGCGCATGTCCCCAACGGACCTCCTGTCCCTCAACCTCACCAACCTCGACCCATTGACCGAAAACTACGACCTCGGATTCTACCTCAATTACCTTATGCGATGGCCGTCCCTCTTTAGCAGCGTTCAAGATCGCCAGGAAGGCATCGTGGGTTACAGTGAGTTCTTTCCAACCACACCCTGAACAACACATGATATAGACCCTCCGTATTGCAAGGATCACGACTAATACGAATACTCAGTCATGGGCAAGCTTGAAGAACAACCCGCCTCGATGCGCCATTCCGAACACTACACGCCCTGGCACGGCCACATTACCGTTTTAACCGTTGCGCCCGCATGGCGCCGTCTCGGCCACGCGCGTCGTCTCACCGAACGTCTGGAACAAGGCTCCGATATCAACGATGCCTGGTTTGTCGATCTCTATGTGCGAGCGGGGAATAAAGTTGCCGTGGGGATGTATAAGGGCATGGGGTGAGTTTATACCCTCCTTTCTACTTTTTCTTTTTTGAGCTTCCCCTGTCCAGAATTTCTTCTGTTCTCTTTTCTATGGTTCTCCACATAGAGATGATGATGGTGCTAATAGGGGTGTTTCACGCAGATACTCTGTCTTCCGCCGAGTAGTAAATTACTACAGCGACGACCCAACAGGCTTCTCGGATTCAGGTGAAGATGCCTTTGATATGCGCAAGCCATGCAGTCGCGATAAGAAACTTCAGCATATTCGGGACAATGGGGAGGAGTTCTTGGTGGATCCGATTCATGTTTCGTAGAGGAGTTCCTCTCTCTACGCTTCGCTTGGGGAGTGATGATGGATGGATCGGACGGGTCTAGGTATATATACATATGATGGAAGTGAGGCCGGCAACAAAGGTTGAGGAATTATATAAGAGAAAAATGGCTTGTCGGTCGGTTGTTTCGAGCATTTGGTGTTTGGGCGTTTCCATTACTATTATTTCTATGCTGGGTTGATGAACGGACGTATCATGCCATGTCGTGCTATGCATGTTGAGTGGGACTAGGGAGACGGCTTGAATAGATTTCTTATGAGAATTGTAGTCACTAAATCCAAACAGGCTTGGGGATGGTATCCATGCTGTCAAATACTTTCAATCAACCAATATGGATCGTAATACATTAAGCAATATGTTCTAGTCTAGTCTTGAATCTTATCTATCGTATCAAAAGATCAAACTTTTATCATCCCAGAAAAAGAAAAACCGGTTCTCCCATGATGCATGATGCAAATGCAATGCTTGAATGGAATATGCAATCCTTTTGGGTCATCAAGTATTAAGGTATCGGTCCTCATCGAGGCGGGTCGATGTGGTCGCGGCGTAGTTGAAGAGGGAATAGGAGTAGTGTGTTGTCAGATCGCGCTCACACACGCGCGGCAAGTCTCATACCCGAGCGAGAGAATCTCAGCGCGGCAAAGACGGAGGCAGACGTAATGAGACAGCAGGCTGTGAAGAGCTGCACTCCAAGGTAGCTGCCCGAGTTGCTCAGAATGGCTCCGCCGATAGGTGTACCGATCAGCAATCCGACAGAGGTGATTGCGAACACCATGCCAAGACGAGTTCCCAGGTCCCGTATGTCCTTGGTCAAAGTCACCATCACGACCGGCGGAAGTGACACGAAACCGCCGGAGCAGAGACCATACAGCACGGAAAGAACGATGATGCCCGGAGCATTGTGAACTCCGATCCAAGCAAAGGCGAGGATGGCGGTAGCGGTGGCTGCAGGAGTGAGGACGTTCAAGGGACCCGTGTGGTCGGCAATGAAATTCGGACAGATACGTCCAACGGTGGACCCCGCATTCAACATGGACAGCAGGTAGAATCCGAGGGTGGAACCGACAATTCCGGTATCGATGGCGTAGGATTGGATGTAGAAAAGGAAGTTGTAGAATCCAAGGAAACCCAAGAACATGCCAATGCAGAACATCACGAAATGCGGCTCCTTGAAGGCAGCCAACTGGACCAGCTTGCGCTTCTCTGTCGGCTGGAAGCGCATACGCATGATGCTGTATGAAATGCAACAGGTCCCGAAACAGAGGAAGCCAATAGCTCGAGTCGCCCAGGGAAAGCCCACCTTGTGCTGCAACTGGTCAAACATGATCGGGTAGATCACACCTCCGATACTGCTGCCCGAAGCGGCAAGACCATTGGCCAGGCCGCGTCTCTTCTTGAAGTACTGGGGCAGAATGGCGACGGATGGAACGAACAGGCATCCGGCAGCCAGGCCAATACAGATACCCTGGGCCAGGATCAGCTGCCAGAACTTGGTAGCAAGACTGGTCATCATCAACCCAAAGGGAAGCATAATGCTTCCAAACGTGAGCAGAGCACGGAAGTAGCCTGCATCGAAGAGAGGTCCTGTTACCACACCAAAAAGCATGAGTAGGAAAGCCTGGAGTGAGCCAATCCAGGCGATGTTGGACGATGACATGTTCGACAACAAGTTCTGTTCATAATACGTTTGGAAAGCACCCCAGGTGTTAATGACACCCCTGGCCGTCATCCTTCGTCAGTTGATGCCCTACATGATACTTGAGTATAGGGCCTCACATACCATGAGTTGAAGAAAAGGAAGAAAGAACCTAGCACTTGGATCCATGACTTAAAGCCGGTATCAAATATCGGTTCTTCTAAGGGTTTCTCATCTGACGGGGTAGGAAGCTCATGGACATCGCCATTGTTGTTTGCAGCGAGGGATCCCGCAACAGCCTTCTCGTCGTAATCAGCATTGGTTCCCATTTTCCACCCCGATAATAAGCGATCAGACGGACCGTCTGGTGGAGTGGACGATAAAGGTAAGGGTTGGAGGGCGAAACAGACAGCGGATCAGATAATCCCCGTGGCAGTCGACGTGAACACAGCCCAAACAGCACTCACAGAGAGCTTGAGTAGCTACGTAAGATAGATTCCTTAGGACCGGGGGACTAGGAGCAAGGAGGAGGTCGAGCCCAGGTGGAGGTCAGGCTCACACTATATACTGTGATTAGAAATGAATCATAGCGGCACACAGTAAAAATTTATTAAGGTAGTGCCTCCAAGCCCCGGCTAAGACTAAGCTTGGGAGCTAGAAAAGCAGACTCAACCAAGACTGAGTAGGGGGGTCCACTCTCAGGTGGCCATTCATGTTGACTGATCCCCTGGGAGTGGGAATGGAGACAGTCAAGTGAACCAGGCTCTGGCTGATGCCCCATTGTGGGAAGAGAGCCTACTGGACCAGCAACGAGCGGGTTCCGGGTAAGCGATGGAGTCACTTGCCGAGGGACGGAGCCACAGAGCTCTTTCTTTTCCCCAGGAACATGTCTTGATGTGTTGTCGGGGAGTTGGAGAAGTGAGAACACGAGCATGAGAAATTGGGGAAAGCAAAGGGACGCCCTGCGCTTCACAACTACGGTTATTGCAGGTATGCTCTGCATAAGCACGATTGGAGGATGACTGCAGATAGTGGGCTTTTAGTGTGACAGCGTGCCGATTTATCCAGGCGGAGGGCCGAACTGCATATCACTTCTTTTTAGTCCATCCTGTACCTGGTCCGTTGACCTGCTCATTCTTGGCGAATGCAACGCTGGTTCGAATTCCTGAAACACGAATATATCACATCGTCCAGGCTTGACAGGTCAAGGGTCGGTCTATCCATCTCTAGTCCAGTTAACCTTGAAGAACAGTGTATCTGGCGATAGAGAAAATAATGATAGCAATGCCTACTGCGCACTGGACTGGCCCACCGAGAAGTATCAGCAGCAACAAGGAAGATGCTTGATTCGAGACCCCTCGAAGCACTTACTCGTAAGCCAGAAAATGCGGGATTGAAATACCTCGGAGTTATCGGTCTTCGCTCCGGGTCTGGGTCCCGAAACAAGACGGCGTCGTCGCCGATGAAGATCGGCTGGCAGAAAAAAAGGTGAGCAAACCACGGATCGGTGAGCACTTGCTGATCTGCTTGATACGTAGACCGAATATAACCAGTGACTGCGCAAGAGAAAGTGGCTGACCGATTCGAGAAAGCATGAAAAGAATTCATACCAGGCTATCCATGCCTTGAAACCGAGCAGAAGAGAGAAGTTGTGTTGCTCAATAATGGGCTGACCACATGCCGCCAATCACGGGATGTCATCTTGCATTAGTGCTTTTCGTGCAGTTCGGCAATGCGAGACAAGCCACGATGTTCGAACTGTGCTCTCCGACTCGGCTGTTTCAGCCGATTCACTGGCGGTCAGAGAAGCGCGGACCGAAGTCCGTACAAATAATGTCTATCGAGCAAGCGATCCTACTCGTCCCATTTATACTCCGAATGAGGCATTTGTGTCGCCTAGATCAACTTACCGATGACTCTTAGCAAGTATTCATGAGCAACACATTGGGCTAAGCATCTCTCTTATGATTCCTACGTGTTCTGTGGAGGTTTTCAAGAGCAGGGATGTCGAAGCACTTAACAAGTCAAACGACTTTATGACGTGGTCAATAAGAATGAGGCGAATACAGGATAGGCCATCATGTGCTACAAGGACCCGTCGCAGCCTGATGCGAGCATCTGGAGCATGTCATATCTCAGAGAGGAATGCTCGCGAGACAACTTATCTACCGGGAATGTGGGAACGGTGCCATGTGAGGAGTTGACGCCATACTTGCAGTTGCATCAGAGCCCCAAAGCATCCATCTGCAACAGTGCCAAACACAAAGTACCTTTTCTGCTACCTCCTTCATCTCCAATTTGGAGTCACCATCCCAATCAGGACACGAAAACAGACCCGTCGATGTTGATTCTACATCCGAGTCCACCTCTGTGGAGCGCTCTGTCTGGCTCAGATGTGAAGACGTCGTTTTGCTTCCAAAGCAGTAGATTGCGAACAAAAGGCCTAGACTGTGCCAAACGAAACAATGTCAACATCAAACTTTTTTGAATTTTACTGATATATAGACTGCAGTGCGTTATTCTTTTGAGTTTTCTTTGTCTTCCCAGTGTCCCAGTGGCTGCCTAGGCCAGTATGGCCCGCTACCCTACTCCGAAACTCCAAACGCTATGCTGCCCAGAGGGAAAGATCCTTAGACCAAACACATACACAATAAAGTAAGAAGAAGCCATTTGGAAAAATACAACCACCTATGTCGTCTCCGCGTCTAGAGTAATTCTTCGCAAGTCCAGTCCTCGTACCTGTACCACAGAAATAGTGATTAGATCGAATACGTCAAATCGTTAAACACACATGGAGAAGGTCCGCTTACCATCCGTCGGGAAGATATCTCCGCACAATCAGTGGGATCTTCTTCTGGTTCAACTCCTTGATGGCGATCTGTAGAGGATCCGTCTCGCCCTCAAGATCGACGAGCACCGGGGCGTTCATACTAAAAACATGGTCAGCATCCGATTGCGCTCCTCAGCCCATGCTTGATGCTGCATCGATTGCCGAGACGAACCTGATCTGCAGCGCCCGAGTACCCAGGACACGCGCGCGCTCGTACTTGGTCATGTATGGAGTTGTCTGGCGCTGGTCGTTCGGGACCTTCTTCTCCCGTGTCTGTTCCATGACCTTGCCCGCATACCCCGCATTCGGGTCGCCTGAAGCGACAATGTGGTTTCCGTTGACAGCAGGCGCGTATGAGCCTTCGCCATATTCATCGGCTCCTCCTTCTGCGACGTCGACATCCTCGGGGTTTAAGAAGTCCTCGGGCTCGTTGTCATCGTACTCCTGCTCCGGCTCGTAGTCGTAACTATAAGACAATCCTAGTCAGAACATCGGAATTTCCACCTAGCAAAAATGACGGCCATCGATATGTAACGCAGACGCGCAGCATTGACCTGCGCAAGCTCAAGCTCTCATGGGGTACCGGTCTCTTACGTTTCCTCAGCGTCGTGGTCTCCGTAGTCAGACATGGTGGCGGATTAAGTTGAACAAAATTGGGATGAAACACCAATCGAATATGACAGCAATGAAGACAATGGCAGCACCGCGACCGGGCCGGGTTGGGGACGAGACGATAAACTGTTGCGACGGGCTTTTCTTCCTCGTGAAGAAATCGAAGTCGCGACCCTCAGAATCCGGAAAAAGTTCCTGTCGCTCGTCCGGCGCTAGTCTTCTTTGGGTGCCGCTGTTCACCGCCTCGGCAAAATTTCTGGATGTCGTCGTGCAGCCATCACTTTTTCCTTCAATCTTCTTTCCTTCCTGTCGCCAGTCCAGTGCTCATTAGTCAGGCTTGGATGGTCTGAAGGACCGCGGAGCTATGGCTCAGAAGCGAAAAGCCTCGGGGGACCTCCCCAACCCGAAGCGGGTACAAAGCCGGACAACGCTGGACGATGTCGGTAAGATATGCCTAGAGACCGAGTCTAGATTCCGGCTGATACTAAATGTCTTTCATATACTCCAGACCCAATATATGAAGAAAAGCACTCCGACCCCGAGTATGACTTTTCGGATGACTCCAGTGTCGCTAGCGGTAGTCTTCATGAGACTCCAGCTACTCCGATGTCGACTATCTCCGCTAGATATCCTTCAGAGCTGAAAACTCACCGCTGCCCTTTCGACGGTTGCACGAAGGCCTTCAACCGTCCAGCACGCTTACAGGAACACTTGCGCTCACACAACAATGAACGACTATTCCGTTGTACCCACGACGATTGCGATAAGACGTTTCTCCGAGCATCGCATCTGAGCCATCACATCAAGAGCGCCCATACCGGAATCAGAGATTACGTATGCGACCGTCCGGGATGTGGGAAGAGCTTTGTAACTGGCTCACGGCTTCGTCGACATATAGCTGCTCATGATGGAAGAGACAAGTACCGCTGCACAGAGTTTCCGCCTTGTGATGAGACCTTCCGAAAACACTCAACGCTCCAAAAACACATCATGAGCGTGCATCTGAAACAGAAACCCTTCTCTTGCCCGCACATCGACGCAACTACCGGCCAGAAATGTCCAATGGCATTTGATACCGCAGGACACCTTCGAGCTCATGAGAGTCGCATCCACACCGAGAAACGATTCACCTGCACGGAGTGTACTCAGCAGGCCGAGCAGGCCAACCCATCATCATCCGAGACTCCCGCTCTCACTACAGTAACATTCCCGACTTACGCCCTCCTCCAAGCTCACATCCGAACTGTCCACCCCCCACAATGTCCCAATTGCAACCTGACCTGTTCCACGGCCCGAGAGCTCCGCCGTCATCTGGAGGTCAGCCACGGTAACGTGAGTCTGGAAGAGCGAAAAGTCTTCCCCTGCACCATACCAGGTTGCGATAGCAGCTTCACCAAAAAGGGAAACCTAACTGTGCACATCCGCACCGTCCACCAAGGCGAGAAGCGCTTCGTCTGCGGCGAGACCGACCTTTCCATGTCCAAGCGAGTCGTCGGCTGGACGGGAGCCGACGGCTGCGGAAAACGCTACGGGAGTAAACTCGCCCTGGAGGAGCACATTCGCACCGCGCACCTCGGCTTTCCCAACGCCAAGGCTGAGCGTCGACAGCGTCTTGGTCTGAACAAGACACCGAACCCTCAGCAAACCGCTCCTTCCGCATTGGCCGCTCTCACAGGTGAGGGTTATGCCGAAGAAACCGGCCGACAGATCACCTGCTTCATCGAAGGCTGTCCGCACCGGTTCCACCGGAATTACGATCTGTGGGTCCATATGGGGAGTAAGCACGGATGCACCGAGGACGAGATTCGCGATATGTTCATGCAGCGCGCGCTATTGGCGGACAGCAATGAGCCCGTTACCGGCGATATGTTTGGTATCTATGGACTCGAGTTCGATAACGATGACTCCTCCGCCCCATATGAACCGTATATCATACATGCAGATTCAAAAGCTGGTCTATATACGATGGGCAGTGGTGGTGACCCCACAAATAATGAAAACAACCCCGGCGACTTCCCCAGCAACTTTGCTGATGCCATGATTCAAGATGTCGATGTCGATGTTTCTTCTTCTTCTAAGATACCCAGTGCTGATGATATGGCGATGATTGATCCTTTGTTGGCGTATAATATGGCGGATTCATAGGGGCATTCTTTTCTCTTACTACCATATCCGGTCTACCTACGTTTGTTTTGTCACAATTTCGGGCTACATAACGTTACTTCACGAGCAGAAGATACGTAAAATAAATATAATGAATCATCTCTAGTGTCTATTTTTGGTTTTCACACTCTCCCTTTTGACTCCTACCCTCCTCTCTATCCATGGTTTTGTCTCGAATGATCGAGCCTCTAGCTAGGTAGTGCCTCTAGATGAGTTAAATGCGAAATGCAACAGGTCTCCCACACCATCAGGCCCCAAGATGCGCTGCACCAGTTTCAACATGCATAATAGACAAGGAGAAATGAAGGATAGGGGAATACATCAGTAAGTCATTTTGACATTCCATGCAATGTCATCAGTGTCGTCAGCATCATGTATAGTCAAGCCGCCAGCCGTCCGGCCGGCGAAGCGGCATCAAGTCGAGAGAGGAGATTTTCAAATAGAGAGTCAAGCAAAAAATGGGTAGTCAGTAGTATACACAACAATGCATGCAGGCACCTTGGCCAGCAAGGGTAATGAATGAATGAGTTAAAGTAATACAATCACGAACAAGAACAATAAAGAGGCGGGTCCCAAACGATGTCATCAGACCCTTTTCACAAACGTTGCACGGTTGCCGCGGCGATCTCCCTAGGAGGTGAAAAAAGAGGGTTGCCCTGTAGATAGTAAAGTCAGCTTACGATTGCACATACAGACGGTGGGTGATGTGAAGTGAGCGTGAATCAGGAAAAACGTCAACAAATGAGCTATAGTGGTGAACCACTGTGAGGTGAGGTGATATGACTTTGCTTTTTTGTCATTTTGCCTAATACATAAAGTGGGAAAGAAAGGAGATGGGATAGCGAGTTTGCATCTTCTTCATCGATCCTGGATTGGCCCCTGTTTCGACGATAATGTCAGCTTCTCCGGCCCACGGTCTTCGCCTACTGCTCTTGACTGCCAGAGTTAGAGCAATTTGGCAATGACATGGGCGTACGGTAAGTGTCATAGTGTCGAAACTGGTGCACCCTGGAGATTGGGATGGCTATTGAAGGAAATGAGAGGAATCCATAACAACTGATGGGGTTTTGTGGGTTTTCTGAAGCATGGCTCGCGTTTGCCAATCAATGGACTGAACTTTGATTACCATACCTTCTTCTTGCTTTCGACAGAGTGGAGAGATTTTCTTTTGAGTTTCAATTCTCATGTGAGATCGATCAAAGACGTTCGTAAAGTATGTTGTTCAGATCGCAGCTGACATATGGGTGAGGGTGTTCTGATATGGCTCGTAAATCCTGAAAGCCCAAGATGTTTAGTCACCAAGGACAGACTGAGACGTATTCGATCTGATCAAGAAAATCAGGCTGCGTCTCTTGAGGGGGCGTAGCCGGTTCAGGTTCCTCAGGAATCGGAGAAGGAGATTTCACAGGAAGCTGGGAGGACGCAATGTTAGCAAAGGAATGCAAAGTGACCTAACTAAAGGAATTCCCTTGACTTGCCGGATCCTTCTGGGGCCACTTCTCCGTGTGGTTCTCTTCCACAGCACAAGCCTTCTCGATCATCTTCGCCTTCTTGCGAAACGAGCATTTGGGAGGCGTAGCAGTTAGCTTTATATCCCTGGCCGTGTTGATGCGAAGCAATGAAAGGGTCTTTGTTAGGTCCTTCTCCAGGTTTTTGTCTGAATCAACTACGTCTTCGAAGTAACCGCGATTGGTATTTTCGTCGGACTGCTTGAATGGGACAGGAGTGGACGGCGTGGACTTGATTCCGGCAATGGAGACTCTTGTCTGGGCCAGATGCCGCAGAAATCGGATATATGGCTCGTTTGCCGTTGGGGAGGGCTTATGAGTCGTGAAAAGTCGAGCGACGTCACAGAACAGATGCACAGCTGGGAGGCCTCTCGCCAAACCCAGCCAAAGTGCAGTCTTGAGTAAAAGATCGAAGGCTCCGTTCTCATGCTCGAACTCCCATCTTACCAAGTCGCCTACCTGAGCTATCTCTGCGGACAAGCGTGGCGGCGCAAGTCCCTGGGGTGGGAGCCAGCCCCATGCACGGGCTTTGTCCGGCTTGTGTGCGCAGGTATAGGCCTTGTAAGCGTGAAAGAAAGAAGTGAGTACGATGGCAGAGTCCATATAGCCTTCCCAAGAAAGTGAGGCCTTGCATGCGTCAATCCGAAGTTGTTTGATACTCAGCAGAGCGGTGCGTTCTGTGGACACGGGAAGAGGATTGTAGATTTTTCCTATGCTGCTTTAGACTGATGGGTTTTCACAGGTTCAACTTGGGATTGTCACTCACTGTCCTCCGTGTCCAGTTTCATCGCAACCATGACATCGCTTTTGAACAATTCGATGACCCTGATGGATGCTTCAAGCTGCTCACGAGCTTTGCTAGGACTTGCACGCCGAGAGTTGAGCCAGAACACCGGCTTATCAGATTCCTTGCGCAGGAATGCTAACATCTTCCTCAAGATCTCAATCTCAGCCCCGAAATACGTCTCATCGGTTATGTTCGTTTCTTGACGTTCGGTGTCGATCTTGTTGAGAACCTGAGGATATCGTTTCAAAAGCCATTCCTCTAGTTTCATCTGGGTAGCGTGCATCTTGTCATCACTTTCGAACAGCATGCTCAGAAGATGCTCGTAGGAACCTGGGAATATATCTTTGAGGATACCGGGGAGCGAGTTAGAGACCTCATCGACGAAAGTTCCAGGATCAAAACCTCTGGTAAATTCTATCATCAGTTGGTCAAGCCTCTCATTCTCAGCCTCGATAATCTCCTCAGCTTTCTCTTCCACCATCGCACAGGTGTCCGTAGGCTCATCAAGTATGATGTCGATCGGCTCGGCGACCATCTCCTGAATCGGTGCAGGGACGACCGGAGAAGAGCAGATGAGATCCATGGCGACAGTCCGATCAAGGCATACCAAATTTTGACCTTATATTCGACGTTGGTTAGGTTTGAGATTGAAAGAGAATATGAAAGGGAGGAAGAATAACACACCAAGAGACTACCTGTTATTGTCGAAGGCACTGCGGATTTTCCAATCCTTTGACAGTCTGCCCTGCAGACCAGGATGTGCTTTCTAAAAGTGTTCACACACTTCAGGTATGCTTGGGGGAGAGGGAGATGAGTTGATGATATGAAGACGCGATTAGGGAATCTCGAAAAGTTGGTTTTGGAAGGATTCAACAAAGGAAGCGAAATGAGATTCGAGTAGCAAGTATACAAGCGAACACAAGGTCAAGCGAGAGGGGAGTGAAGAGGAGCAGAAGCAAGTCCTGACACGCGCAGTGAATGAAAGGCCCAGTGAAAACCAGAGAGTTGCATTGACGGTAGGGAAAGACACACTCTGCCCATCACTTAGTCCCACTAATGCCAGCAATATAAATGGATGTACCAGGACTCTTTTGCCTTGGTTAGTACCAGCGTCAGCTTACCCATAAGGTGAGAATACCATAGCCATAGGATGCCATGAAGGACTGGCAGAGATATTCAAGTCCTTTCCTTCATTTTCAGGTGTGTCATCTTAGATAACACTCCAGTATACCTTCTCTTGGGAAAATCGCAGATGAGATAAGTATTTGCAGACGGCTATACGATGCTAAAGAACGGTATTGATGTAAGTTGAGCAAAGCGAGACCTGTCGGACTCCCACGAACCTCACCGTCCAGACTGGTCAGTGGAGTTAGTACTTACGACTGAGACCCTACGATTTATGCCGAGTATCCTCCATATCACGGGATATCCCTGATAAGTGCATCCACAACTAGGTTCGAGCAGGGAAGCTTGTACGAATCCACATGAACATGAAGAGTGACAACACAATCGAAAAGTCGACCTCTTCAGATCACGAAATCGGACCTGACGCTAGTAATCAAAGATGACTGCGCGACCCAGTCTAGGATCCGGTGACAGTTTATGCCTGAGGTAACATGGAGTTGCAGCAAAGATAGTCTTCACGACATGATTCAATACCGTCGACCCATACCCACGAGTCACCAGGGTATGAGACGTGATGGGCAGATGACCAAATGTCAGATACGGGAGAACACTAAGATGATCAGGTACTCATATTAGCCCCTCCGATTTAGATTGCAAAAGCCCGACTGCTTTAGCTTGACAAACACCACGATGTGTTTTCCTGGTTTTTACATTCTGCGGAAGCTTTATGTAGCCTTATACGTCCGATACTGGTGGGGGGGAGGGTCTCAAACTCAAGACTGATGAAATTTGCATCCAGCCAACGTACAAATGTGATGAATTCGAAGTATTTGGAAATGCATTTGCCTAGACATGTCATTTTCGTCAGGGCTATATTACGATGTTGTAGGTCAGAAGACCCTTTGACCCATGAGAACACTAAAAGGCACATGACAGCCGACAGATATGGCCTTGGCAGGCACAGATATCTGACAAGGTGAGAAGCATGGCAATGTCGCAGTTTCGATTATCGATATTTGGGGTTCCGACAGTCACTCCAGTCCATAGGACCCTGCAGGATGTCTGCGAAGGAACAGGTACAGGTTCCCCTCCCCCTGAGTGGGGCTCGTACTGTATGCCCTCTACTAGAAATATACTGGTAAATATATTGACAGCAAGCAACCGAACTGCCACTACCTTCTGTATGCAGTTAAAATGACTATACGTGAAACACGCTCACCGAGGGTAAACCTATCACTGAGCTTGTCCATAAGCCGAAACTCAATTGCAGCAGACTCCACCGAGTCGGGGTGTGCTAAAGCAAGTGGAGACAGGGAGGGCCTCCGTCAAAAGTGAAACAGAGCAAGACTCATGTGGCAGAAGATCGCTTCGGACTTGGGGGATCTTCACTCTTTCATCATCATCTCCTTCTTTGTAGTTTGTACGTTGTATCGCCCCTTCTTCAAAACTGAGTCTTAGTCTGCGGTAAGGCCAGGAGAGAAAGCCGTCGTACCACCCTAGTCAAGATTGATTGCATCATGACAACCGCAAGGCTGATCCTGCAATCGTGTCCCAATGATACGCTCCAAGGGAACGAAGATCAAGTGAGTAAATTTTCGTAAGCGGGGAAACATGATGGAGGAAAACTGGTTGGATCATCGAAATTACTGGCGAGCACAGGATATGCCTACGTGGTAGGAGAAGCTTTTCCCGCGCTGGGTCCCTACAGCTGAGGTCATGTTGCCGAAATTATCTCCTAACCAGCAATGATCGCTGCTAGGAGTTTGCGCGTCAAGCCTGCGATCATCTTTGGGGAGCTCCGCAGTCTTGAGCAGACTAAGAGGGGAAACACCCTGGCTGGTGGGTCACGGGCTGGGGTTTGCACTACAGAGTGCGTACACCCTGTTGAACACCTCAGAGTAGAAGTACGTGCTTCTAGAAAAGGATATGATTTGATCACTCGTGGTGCTGACCAGCCACAGTAAACTAACAATTTATTTTATCGGTGGCTTTGGTCGAGGGGAGAGGATGCTGAGCAATAATAAGGCGTCTTATCAACGGGGCAAATCCTGATTACCGCCTGCGTTAAGGTTACATAACCTGCAGCATCAAGAATAAAGTTGATGCTCTTTGCTCAACCCAATCTCTAAGGTCTTCCAAGAGCAAATGCCGCAGCCACTTTAGGCGAGGCTAAAATTGCGGATGGCTACTCTGCAATGTCCGCAGCAGAGGAAGGACCCTTGCTAATTAATTGCTTTGCTCGGATAGCAGGGTACCGACATACGACTAACAATATCCAACCCCAGCCGCTTATGATTTTAGATTCAAACTAAACAAGTTCACCTTAATCTTAGCCTCGTACCTCAGCAGGGGTATATGCTTCCGGAACTATTCTTATCTTTATAGGCTTGGTCTGAGCTGCGACTTGGAGATCCATTCCAATCACTGCAGGCAATTTTGGACATTTATGGCATCCCGGTTATTTATAGTGTGAAAATCAAGTTGGGAAACAAGGAGCACAGCGGACTAACTATCGATGAGCTGCTAAAGAAGTATTCAGTGAAGCTTCCCGCCAAGATCATCTGATGCCGTGTGGCACGGCGGGCCTGTGGCAGTGCGCCAGTGGATTATTGACTCCCGGACCATTCCTCTTTCTGACTGTCGCCTTGCATTCTTCCGTCCACAAGGGACAAGGGACACGACGACGCCTTTCCCTCCCCATCCATCCATCCAATCGTACCATGATATACCCTCGCTCGAGGACTAATACTTTCGCATTACGAGGGTCAGTCTAAGTTTTTTCTGGCTGCTAGATAAGAGACCAGCAGATACGATGACTGGTTAGGCTGTGCTTGGCGTGTACGTTGTCTCCTCTCCTCACCTCGTGGGCGAGAAACATGAATTGATGAGCAGAGGCAAAAGCAAAGGACCGCCGGTGGAATTGGCTGGGAAGTGGCAGTCGTAGTTAAGACATGCAGGCCTACGTTTCTATATTTGGCGAGATGGTGGGATGCAACCATTGGATTGGCCTCTTATTTTTATTCACAGCATGAGCTGATTGGAGGCAGTGCCAGAGTCAGTTACGCGGGGGGCGTGCTTTTTTAGTGGGATAAACTGGGATAATCCACCAGGCCACCCATGGGTTGCTCGGATGGCTGACTGACGGGGAATGACAGTAAATACTGACTCAATAATACCACATAGGTGTCCATTTCTTATTTCTTTTCTAATGAATATTATGGTGATTATTTTTATTATCATTATAATATCATTTTATTAGCACTGTTTCCTTTTGATTACTAGCGATTCGGTTCGCTGGTCCTACTAGTGACCCATTTATTGTCAATTCATCTCTTGCAGCAAGCCAGGCAATAACTAATATCCCGGGTATTACCCCGTACTTTGTTAGGTGACCTGCAGTTATTTTTCTATGATCCATGCCGATCGCACTGAGATGACTCTTGGGGGAAGGGAGATTCAAGCAGCAGGGGCAGGGGATCGGAGTTTAAAAAGAGGAAAGGAAAAGAAAAGGGCAATAATAAAAACGAAATGCGAGACTGGCCCGTCCGTCTGGGACCATCTTTAGTGTAAAGGAGGCACATTAGTTTCAAGTCGGATTGTAGCCACATGCGATGACGCCAGCCGCCAGGCAGACAAGCCGGGCCAGAACCACTTCGCGGTACCGTAACACATAACACACAACCATACTTACCCAAGTATTGACCCGCAGGTCCATCCAGCATGACGGATGGAGTTATTCTGCGGCTTCGTCTTCACCATCTGACCGGCTCTTTCAAAGGGAATGTCTTCCCTCTCACGCCGTGACTTCCTATACCCAATTACTACGAGGGTGTTTTATGTGGCACCTCCATTCGGAATGTTGACAAACAATAGCAACAAATAACACCCAGATCCACTCTCCTTCAGTCTCAAAGGAGGAAAGAAGAAAACAAGCAGCCGACCCTACTATAAGTCCGGTAACACTTGTTACACTCACAACATTCAAGACCCACGTCTTAGACTGGGTAAGTAAGTTGATCGTCCTCCAACGCTCGTCGGCTTGTGCTTCCTTTCACTGATCCTCTATGCTTCCTTCTGTCCAGCTTGCCCTTTTTTTTTCTATTTTGTTTCCCTCTCTGTCGCCTCACTCGCTCTATATCTCTCCCCCTGCCTCTCCTTTCCTTCGCTTTCCGACTCATTCCCCTCCGCTTTCTCCGCCATCGAGTCCTGAGACATCAAGTGGCCTAGTCAGGCGCTTGCAAAGCTGACTTTGCGCCATCATCCGCTATCTTGGCACTTGTTCCAGCATTGCCGCGGTCTTATTTGCCCTTCCGCTCCTGTCTTTCGTTTGGGCGCCTCCCCCAATTCCCACCGGGAACTTGATGGAATCAAACTTCCTGATCTAGTATTGGCGGGTCCGGACACATCGTCGCTATCTCCGTGCGGAGGAGCTGGACTCAGTACACACTTCTTTCTTCTTCGCCTACTCTTTCGCCTCTCGTTCTCTCCCCATTTATTTCCGTAGCAGCACTATTCGGCCCCAACCCTTCCGCGCAGACTGCATGTTCGTTGTGTAACACAGATAACACAAATCCTACTTTTTCCGAGTGAGCTGGAAGCCGGTCTTCAGTTCTGTTATCTCTTTGGGCTATAACCAAGTTTGGCCATCATGGGTCGCTCGCGTGGTAGGTCATTAGCATATCCTCTTATACTTCCCCTACGAACTACAGATGACGGTGATTGACACCCCTTGCGCTACCAGTGCTTTCTCTCATGTCGGTCTTCGGGGGATCGTCCCGTAAAGACAACCTCAGCCAGCATCACCGGACATCCTCGGCCTCTCTCACACTGAACAATCCTCCGCGAAGAGTAGACACGCCTTCTTCGGATACCCCCTCGCCTCTCGATGCTTCGCCGATAACCGGGACTCCACATGTCGAACGACGGGTAACATCGCGGCCGGAGTCGACGCTGTTCTCTCACAATCCTCCGTTGCTGGAGTTTTCGCAGGATACCCCTCCGGAGCTCCAACCAATCTTCGGATATCTGAACAGCCATGCCAACAAGCTATACCATGAAGGCTATTTCCTCAAGTTGAACGATTTGGACATTCGTGCGTATCCCATGGGTTTTGTTATAGTCCAATGTCATATTAATTACAGATTATCGCAGATGGTCGTCCCTGTGCTGATCGCCAGTGGGTTGAATGCTATGCGCAGCTTGTCGGAACCGCTCTTTCTTTATGGGATGCCGCAGCGCTGGACGCCGCAGAAGAGTCGGAAGACGTCTGCCCTACTTTCATTAACTTAGCTGATGCTTCAATAAAGATGGTGAGATAATGCAATCTCAGATGTTGCGGCTCTTGCTTTTGATTATTGACTGTCGCCGGTCTAGCTTGAAACACTACCAACGAGAAACCAAGGAGCACAGTCTCTGAAGAACATCTTGAGTATATGTTCCGCTGGCCAAAACAGATACCTTCTGCACTTTAATTCTTTCCACTCTCTGACCCAGTGGACCGCAGCCATACGACTGGCCTTGTTCGAACATACATCCTTATATGAGGCATATACGGGTTCGATCATTGCGGGCAAAGGTAAAGGTCTCAACAGTATTAGAACCATCTTGGATCGCCACCGTTACAAACACGAGGATTGGGCCCGCGTGAGGTTTGGGGCAGGCACGCCCTGGAGACGGTGCTGGTTTGTGATTACTCCCCCGAACGAGAAGGAATTCCAGAAAGCGCAGAAATCAATAAAGAAGAAGTCGGCATACGATCGAGCGCCCCGACTCATAACTGGCGACATCAAATTCTATGATACGAAGAAGACTAAGAAAGCGAAGCCTATTGCGACCATCACTGATGCTTACGCCGCTTACGCCATCTATCCTCAGTCGAGGGCGTTGATCGAACAGTCGACCTTGGTCAAGATTGAAGGAAAGATTACGGTCCACGGACAAACAGAGTCGACAACAGACGGGTTTGTCTTTGTCATGCCCGAAGTCCATCCTGCGGTTTCTGGGTTTGAAATGATGCTCCGGTTTCTCGTCCCTACTTTTGACACGTTCAACCTTTATGGGCGGCCCACCCGCCTTATTGCCGCCACCAACCATATCAAGAGCATTATGTTTGCCTTCCCCAATCAAAGGCGCTATGGCTATCTTGATATTTTAGACATCTCTAGTCTAATGCAGACACCAGGAAGTCAGGATTGGAACGAGGCGGAATGGAGACAGCAACTCAAGGAGGCTACAGCGCGTCGCATGGCGGCTGCTGGAAGCAGGACGAGCAGTATCTCTGCGAGTAAGCCACGCTTCAGGGCTACAATGCCGAACAGACAACCCAACGGCCGCACCATGACGCATCAACGCAACTGCACTTCCCCAGTTAACCAGCTGGATTCCAACCAGTCCAACGACGCTGTCGCGCCTGGTGCCCCCCGTGATGCTTCCATCTCTCCAATTCATCATAGCAGGGCCTCTTCGGACACTGCCGGATTTGCTTCCATCAGGAGACAAGCGCAAGCCGCCGAAGTGTCCCCAGCATCCTCCGCTCAGGAACTTGTGGCACGTGGCAGCGAACGCCCTGGTACTAGCGGGGTAGACGATCATAGAAGCACCGGGAGCGACAGGAACCAGCGACTTGACCCCGACGATGAGCCGCTTGGACATCACTTCCGTTCAACCTCTCCTCCATCTCCCGTAATCCAGCCGCCAGCCTTCACACACGCACCGGGAGAAATGCCCGCAATGCGACCTCAGCCTTCACCGGATTTGAGAAAAGCAAATAATAGGATGTCTGACGCTACCCTGACACAGCTTCTCGCTGCCTCTGGAAGCATGAATCTACTTGGCGCTTCTTTCCCTTCAGGCAGCCATGAAACGATCAGGGAATCCAACCAGCCTAGTCCGCTAACACCTAACACTGGCTCTGATCAACAGGGTGCGCCATCGCTCTTATCAGATACAAGCGAGAAGAGAGTTACCCTTCAGGAACAAGGCCCACCAACCCCTGAGGATCGTTCGAGTGACTTCGGCCCACCGCTCACTTTGCCGAAGAGATCGAGTCTTCGTTTGGATACAACCAAGGCCGTGAAACGGAAGCCTCTGCCTGCGCAACAGATCCGAGAATCCGATGCCGCAAGTGTTGCAGGGGAGCCTAGCTACGATGACCTACGTCATACTGTTGATGAAGAGGTCCTGAATTGGGTCGGCTCTCGCCAATTTTCGCTCACTTCGCCTGATATAGAGAGCCATCAGGATGAGGAAAGCATCTATGATGACGCGTCTGCAAATTCTCCAGATTATGCCAGTACTCGGGGGTCTGTCTACAGCAAGCGCTCGGTTAGGTCAGTCACTAGGCCCAGAATGGGAGTCATGAAAACCGTGGGATCGGGTCCCCCGAGACAAGACTTGGTCATCGGCGATGCGCATTACACCGTTGATGAACCAAAACTGGAACTCAGTGCCGAAATCCCCAGCATCGACTTCGGGCCGACCTTAACTTATCTACCTACAACTGGACGTCCCAATACGGGCGATACTTTGAAGAAATCCATGCACCAAAGGAGCGACTCAAATGCAACAGAAAAGCAGTTCTCTTACCAGGCAGAGCGACAGCACTCAAGATCTCCAAGTAGCAACGTGATGTGGCAGCCGGGTATGACTGCACCCCGTCCCACCACTCCAGGCAGGCTTACAGCGGAGCAATTCGTGCAACAACGATCAGCCCCAAGTCCCCCAATCGCCACGCATAACCGAACCCTTTCCTCTACACCGCCGCCCCCTCGGCCTGTTTCCGGGGACTGGACGAATAACTCTCGGCCTCAGTCACACTTGTCTGGCAGCCGAGATGCACCGCCTCGCCCACGTTCCCGCGGCGCCAACAGCATCATGAACTATAATGAACTGTCGTCACACCTCTCAGCTCGTGAACAGGAACATGTGGCTCGTATGACCGGTGCACCTCTACTCGACATATCCAACGTCAACAAAGCCCAGCCGACTCCGGTAAACCCTATGGGTCTGGTGGGAGCGATTGATGCTCGTGAGCGCGAGAAAAAGACCATCCGAGAAGGCCTGTCCAACCAAATGGTACAGCATGCAATTGTGCAACGCCAGCAAAATTGGCAACAACAGCAGATGGCTTCCAATGCTTCCGCAGCTGCCTACAATCAGGGCAGCCATTATAGTCTCTACAATATGCCCACTGCGAACCGCACGTGGGATGCCCTCAACCAGCCTTACCGGCCAGACGAGCCCCGACGCCAGTCTTGGTACGGACAGTTCGCATCACAGCAGGCGCAGACTCCTCCAATCTACCAGCAAAACCCGCCTTATGGCCAACATCCCGGCTACTCTGGCAATGCCAGCACCCTGCATTACTGAGCCGGTTACTTTCAGCCCCTCCTTCTGATCTCATCTCCTATTGTCTATCCTATCGCATTTTACTCTCTTTGGCGTAATTTCATGATCTAATCCCTTCTTTGCTTTACTTCACTTGCATTAGCCCCGTGAGCTTTCTCTACATATTAGAATTAGACGTTTCCACACCTGAAAGGCTACCTGCTCTATATCTTGGACTTGGTTGGGTGAAAGCGATCATTTTCATTGGGTCTACGGAGTATGTTCGGGAACGTTCCTTCTCTTGCGAGCATGGCATAGTTAGGTTGTATTTATCGCTTTCCAAAGAGTGCCATTGCACTCCTGGCATTGGGTGGCCATATCTCATGCTCAAGTTAAGAATTTTTCTTTCTTTCTCAAGCAGATGTCCAATGATAAATTAAAAGAAACCATAGGTTAAAAGAGTTTGATCCGACCAATGAACGTAAAATATAGTTCCTTTGATCTTCCTTCCAAGACTTGAATAACAATGTTCTTAGGGCACAATGGTTACTAAGTCGTACTAGTAGTTAATCAGAACCAATCAAATCCAACAATAGCTAGAGCTAAGTAGTACTACTTAGTGCAGTGGCGTTTTCCAAGGACCAGCATACTTAGTAGCAACTTATCAATCAATTAAATCAACCAATACACTGTCTGTAGGTAGGTAGTACCCATGCAATGGCTAGATCTCGCGTGCTGTTATACGTGCTATGGCTTATTGAAACACCAAGTAAACCAAAAATCCAATGATGTAGATGAAAAGGTGTATCAATGAGTTTTCCCCCGACCAAAAATAAAATGGGTCAAAAAATGCAATCAATGTAGGTGACTGAAAAATGTAACGCCTGAACTTCCGGAGTTCTCCCTTTCATCCGTCCTTTCTTGCCCTTTCGTCCCCTGTCTGTCTGTCTGTCTTCTTTCCCTGTACTCCATACAACGCTCTCCATGGGTTCTGTCTGTTTGTTTTCTTTCTTTGTATTTTCTTTTGTGTTTAGCGGGTTGTGGTTTTATTTGTTCTGTTTCACTATTTTTTTTTCGGGTATTTGCTTGCTCTACGCTCAGTTCGAGTGGAGCTTCTTCATCCTACTGACACCCTCGTAGAGACCACGGTCTAGGGCTGCCGCGACGGTCAGGGTACCACCGATGATGGCGCACACCCCAGTCAAGAAACCAGTGAAGGTCTTGGGACGGGCCTCGCGGTTGATGACTTTCATGGGGGAGATGTCGTAGTTGACGAAGACGCCTGGAATGCCGTTGGCAGCGTGCAGACGCTCCTTGTGGCCCTCGTCGGAGGCGTCTCCGCCCATCAGCGAGCGCTTGTGCGAGGTCACAGAGTATTGGTGGGTTTCGATGCTGCCCTCCGCACCGTAGGCAATGCCATGGGAGCCAAGAGGGGCCTGGTCGTAAGCGGAGTGGATGGAGGACGAGAACAGCGGATCCCAGCCCAGGGGGAGGTAAGAGGTCGACACCACCTTCACGAAGTACATGTAGTTGTATCCGGGCTCGTTTGTCTCCTGCTTGGTACCGTCCAGAGGGTTGGTGTGGTGGTGGTCAGTCCATTGCCAGCGATCAGAGAGCTCGTCAGGAAGCTGAGGTCCGAACCGCAGCTGGTGGATCTCGTGAGTCATGGTGTGTTTCTCAGCATCAGGTAGATCGGCGTCGAAGAAGTTCGCGAGGTCATGGACGTGCATGTTTCCGCTGGTGAAACTGCGACCCGGAGCAATGTGGAAGTTGCCGACCACCTTGTTCACACGGAGGACACCCTCAAGGCGGCAGCCCTCGCGGCGTTGCGCATCGATGCGCTCCGCGTAGCCCTCAAGCTCACACTGCTCAACGTTTTCGCCCTTTCCGAATGCCCATTGCTGCTGTGCGTAGGCCTCACGAACTTCGTCGCAGGTGTTGCAGCATCCAGGTTTGCTTGCACCGGCGGGAGCAGTCGCGCCGTAACATTCACCACAGTAATCGGGGTCGAGGTGCTTGGCACTCTCATCCTTGGAGTGACTAGGGGATTCAGCGTTAGCGGTGCAATTGGCATTGACAAGAGCGGATTGAGATTGCAACTTACAGCTCCAGGGCCTTGACGTCGATGACGCGGCCTCCTTCTGCGGCAGAAGTAAGGCGCACCTTGTTGATACCGTGGACAACACCGGTCTGTTGCTCGCCAGAGACATCCATAACGTCCAGAGTCAGGAGCTCACAGGGAAGACGAGGGAAGGTCACGTTTAGGTGAATCTCCATCTTCTCGCCTGTACGAAGGGTTCATTAGCCATCGAGTCGTGCCTGGCCGTCCAGCAATCGCTAAGCCATTCTTACCTCTTGATTTATCAACCACCAATTCGGGCATAACAACCACCCGCCTGTAATCCGCCCATTCACCCCACACAAGCCACAGGATGACCAGCAACGAGGCTATGGTGATGACACCTCCGGATGTGGTACGGACGCGCGCATCCTCCACTGTTTTAGCAAAGGCATCTAGCCTTGTGAATCGCGATTTCGCCGGCATTTCTCTAATTGATCGACATGAATACGAAGGAGTGTTTGGGGATATAGACAAAGGATCGTTGGTCCGACTAAAGACCAGCTAGTGCCCGCGGGAATGAAGCCTGTTGGAGAGAACCGTATGTAAGCTGAATAGTTCGAGGAAGGATCAATGGATAGGGAAGAATGAAGACGAGGGCAAACATACGCGGACCAAGTCGGATTGAGAGAATGAACAAGGACGGGAAGTCGCGATTTGCGCACGACTTAGGACGATCAACAAGCAGACAGTCCTTGGGGAAACAGGCCGATGGAAGCTCCAGCTGTCCTGTTAATGAAGCGGAGAAACAGCCACTCCTCCGATGGATGCCACTACCAGATCGGGACTAGCCGCGTAATTGTCTCTGCCCACTTTGGTGCATCGGTATTGTGTATTACCGCCCGTGCCAAAGGACAGACTACAGCCTCTGATTGGCCAATCGCCCGGTGCCTGGTGCACAATCACGTGGTGGGCCTGCGCTTGGCCGCCCACGTGACTATGCACAGCTTCGCGGGCACTGCTTTTGGTGGTTCAACGTCACTTTTTCTGCGCTGACTCCATCTTCTTGCTTCTCTTCCTTCCCTCTCATAACACTCCTCCTCCACATCGAGGTTCGCAGTTGCTTAACTGGGACCGTTCTCGATTTCTCGATTATCGCATCGAGTATCTCTCTCGCTTACACTCCTTCTTCCTATTCCTTCCTACGAAACCTCTTCGAATCGATCGTTGTATGTTTTATTGATCCGATCTCGAACTACTAAAGGCGAGCAGCGCTCGTTTCGCCTCCACAACACTCAACTTCTACCATTCTCTCCTTCGCCCTCTGTCTTCTTACGAAACCTTACTACGAAAAAAAATCTCGCCTCTATCAGCATGAAGGGCGGAAAAGGATCTCGCGGTCGCTCGGGGGGTTCGGATCGTGGGGGCATCCGCAAGCGGGGTGCTACGACCCGGGTCGACCGAGAAGGTGATCTGATGATGGATGCTGGCTCTGCACGAAACCGTGGAAAGAAGGTTCGTGGCGATTCTGGCCGGTCGCAGGCAGCGAACAAAGCCATGGATGCGATCCAGAAGGCCATCTCCAGCAACTCAGACACTCAAGCGAACATCCGACAAGGAGGACGGGGAAGTGGTCTGGAACAGGTTATTGTTCGTGGCTGGAAACAAAGCAAGGCAGCATCTAACCGCGACGGCGGTCTCGAATCCCTCATCGCCTTCCTCGAGAAAAAACTCAGCCCACCCGACTCGAAAGCTGGCACACGCGCAAGGATTACAAAGGTATGTGCAACACCAGAACTGGCGGTCACCGACATCAATTATCAGCTTCGTCCTCTCCGATGTGCTCTCGTTTGCAGGGGTGGTGCGTTCAGAACGACGATCGGCACTTTCTTAGTCTCTCCTGGCGTTTGTTCTTTTGGATGAATGGCGCGGCTCGCAAGGTCCCTTATGCCTTACTAACGTTCATTAGTCGCGGGTTGAAGGCGACGCTCTTATCGTCTCTATTCGGCCAGAGTTGTTGGAAAGGATGCTTCAGCTCAATGGGTTTAGTTTTGCAGGTGCCCCTCTTACCACCGAAAAGTATGACCCGTCTACTGGTGGGTTGCTGGACCAGCCTATGCTGTCTGCTATGGCACAAAATGGCGGCACATCCTCTGCTGCCGAGACCAAGGCGAAAATGACGACAATTCTCGGCAAGCGCTACACCCAGCAGACAAAATTACTCGATCTTTCGAAATTGGGAACCGATCCGGATCTCTTGGCTATGGGAATCTTTGGCAGCACATCCACCGAGTCGAAATTCTTCCCGGCACTGATGAAGGTTTGGGAGCTGAATTTCGACAATGCCACTGCGCGTCGAGAGGCAGTGGAGAGTGTCAGTCTCGCTCATAATCAGCTTGCCAACATCACAGCTGTGACGGCACTAGCATCGACAATTCCAGACCTGAAAAATCTGGATCTTTCCAACAATGAATTCAAAGATGCGCAATCCTTGATTGGATGGCGCTGGAAATTCCGCAATCTCGAGTTTCTCGATCTCTCAAACACTCCGTTCAGCGCCGACCCTACTTTCAAGGATACCATGTTGAAGTGGTATCCCAAGCTCCGGTTCCTGAACAATGTCGAAGTCCGTACCGCAGAAGAAATAGCGGCGCAGAAGAAGACGCCGATTCCTGTGCAACCACCGCACTTCCAGGACGACTCTCAGATCGCAGAGAACTTTGTTAGGGCTTTCTTCGCGGGCTACGACAACGACCGAAGCGGCATTCTCAACAGTGTCTACGACAACCACACGACGTTCACTCTCAATGTGAATACATCGGCTCCCAGGGCCCAACAAACAGAAACAGCGCCCTGGGATGCGTATATCAAGAAAAGCAGAAACCTTCTCAAGATCAGCCATCTTCCTGCACGCATGTCTAGGGTATACACCGGTGCGGAGAAAATCCGCGAGTTGTGGACTAGTCTTCCCGCGACTAGACATCCTGACATTGCGACGCGCCCGGAAGAATGGCTTATCGAGTGCTACCCTATCCCGGGTCTTCCTGATATTTCCGGGCAGAGCTCCACGGGTGTTGGTGGACTTCTCATCATGGTGCACGGGAAGTTCGACGAGATTAATGGGGCCAAGGTTGAAACTCGCAGTTTCGATAGGACATTCATCATCGGGCCCGGTGGTGGTATGGGCGGAATCAGGGTCGTCAGTGATATTCTCTGCTTGCGAGCCTATGGTGGACACGAGGCATGGATTCCTGAGGTTCCACCAGCCGTACCCCAAGCTGCACCTCCAGCTGCACCAGCACCAGCACCCGCAGCCCCTGCAGCCCCTGCGGCACTACCAGTAGCCATTCCGGGTGCTCCCGAAGGCTACGGCATGCCAGCGCCTGGAAAAGCAGACGCACAAGTCCAGCAAGAGCAGCTAGTACTTCAGATGAGCTCTAATACTCGAATGACCCTCCAGTACTCTGAGATGGCTTTGTCTGGAAACGGCTGGAATATGGAGGCTGCACTGAAGAACTTTGAGGAACTTAAGGTAAGTTCGAAGTGTATTCTCCGTCTACGATCATGCGCTAACAAGCTTTTGCAGGCGCAGGGAACATTGCCTCCGGAGGCTTTTCTACCCGCAGCAGTGTAGTTTGACCAAGGAGGACAGGGCCAAATACGAAAAGAACAAAAGAAAAATAAAAATAAAAATAAGAAGATATACCAAATGGACGGGGAACAACTTCTCGAGCGACTCTCTCCCAGACTTGTCTGGTCTTCGCATCCCCGACTCTCGTCGGGAGGTTCCTGGTGGTGTTTGATCGGAGTCAACTGTCTCTTTATTTGTGATTTGCTGATGCATGGCTTGGGCGAATGGCTTCGGAGCTCGTTACAATTGCTTTAATTTTCTTTCGTTGTACACTAAAAGACTACGACCATTTTCATGTCCATATAGACGAGACCTGCAGTACAAGGGGTGGTTTAATCATAACAGAAACCTAGGGTCGATTCTAGGGGGAGGAATGGCCTCCAAATTGATACCACTTGACCTATCCATCTATCTGTCTGAGTAGCTTGTAGACTTGGCTTTTATAAAATCGTAGGATTATCTTGCGCCTGTCCTGGTTCCGACGAACAAACAAGAGGCGATGACGAGGCCCGGCGGCGCGGGCAAAGCGCTAAGACTAAGAGCTGCCCGTGACTGACTGATTGACGGAGCCGGACTGAGTTGTCGCCAACTTCCCGACCTGCGGCTCCGGCGTCAACAACCTCCCCGCGGTCCTTACAGCTTGTCATTTTCAGGTTCTTTTCGCTCCTTTGGCAGCCCTTGCTCTTGGGTCTATGTTTACATGTTGAATTGGCGGATGCCCCTTAGCTGGCATTGCAGCATGTGTCTGGCGTTGACGCTCAGGAGCTAATGGAATGTCCGCCACTACTACCACCACCACCCCCGGCCAAATGCCCTCCAACGGAGAGGTCCCCCTCGATCCTTTGGATGCAGGTGAGGGCTGCCATTGACAACCTATCCCATCGGGGAGCTTGCTAATAGACCCAATGTCACAGCGGACTATGATCCGATCGACCATTTGAACGCAATCTTTTCCCACCCCTCCACATTGTCGTCGGTGTCCCAGGTGTCCCAGTCCCTCCGCGAATATGAGGACGAGCTCGACAACGATATCGGCGCACTGGTAGAGGACCAGGTCACTTCCAATGCGGAGAGCGTCGAGCGCATCCAGGCCGCCAAGGCCGACTTGACCGAACTGTTCAAGAAGATTGACGATGTGCGCGACCGCGCGTCCAGGACGGAGCTGGCCATTACGGAGATGACGGCGGATATCAAACAGCTGGATAATGCGAAGAAGAACCTCACGCTGTCGATGACGGTCCTGAAGAGACTGCAGATGCTAACGACAGCCTACGACCAATTACGTTCTCTGGGCCGGACGCGGCAGTACCGCGACTGTGCTCAGCTGCTACAGGCGGTCATACAGCTGATGGCGCATTTCAAGTCGTATCGCTCGATCGATCAGATTGCGCTGCTTAGTCGAAACGTTGCGGATATACAACGGGAGCTTCTGGAGCAGGTCTGCGAGGACTTCGAGTTGGCGTTCGCGAAAGGGGAAGTTGGCCAAAAGAGGCACGTGCTCTCGGAGGGCTGCTTGGTCATGGATGCGCTAGGTGATCACGCGAAGTCCAGGTTGGTGACTTGGTATTGCAACTTCCAGCTACGTGAATATCGTCAGGTTTTCAGGAACAACGAAGAGGCCGGTTCACTGGACAACATCTCGCGGCGGTATGCCTGGTTTAGGCGGATCTTGAAGAACTACGATGAGGAATATGCGCCCATCTTTCCCGCATCCTGGAGGGTCAACGAGATTCTGGCGAACATTTTCTGCGAGGGCACGCGAGAGGACTTCAAGGGCATTCTCTCTCGATCGGTGCGCAATGGCCAGACCATCGATGTTAATCTGCTACTGTCTTGTCTACAAGAAACATTGGACTTTGAGCATTCTCTCGAGCGGCGGTTTGTCAGTCCATCCCGGCCTTCAACGGATACGTTCGCCTCGAGTGAGGCACCAGTCTTCGGTCAAGCCATCTCAGAGGCGTTCGAGCCCTACCTGAGCGTCTGGGTAGAAGCCCAGGACAAGCAGCTGGCTGCGCTTATCCCTAAATACCGGCAACAACCCGCGAAGCCACCGGATGAAGAATTCGACTCGCACATCGTTATATCCTCTTCCACCGATCTTTTCACGTTCTATCGGCACTCGTTGCAGCAATGCGCGAAGCTATCTACTGGCGCCAGCCTTGCGGAGCTGGCTAAGGTATTCGCGAAGTATCTCGATCAGTATGCACAGGTCCTGCTTTATTACATTAGTGAACGGCCTACAGGTCACACTCCCTCAAAGGTGCCAGGTACCGAGGACCTTATCCTAGTGCTCAACACCGCGGACTATTGCTATACGACCTGCAACCAGTTAGAGGAAAAGATCAAGGGTAGGCTGGACAAAAATCTCAAACAGTCGGTGGACCTACAAAGTCAAGCGGACTCATTCATGGGCATTGCATCTGCAGCTGTTCGAGGGCTGGTTCGTAAGGTCGAGATTGACCTGGAGCCCTGCTGGCGGGAAATGCGCAACACACCCTGGAACCGGCTGGAGGGCGTAAGCGATCAAAGCTCCTATGTCGGCGAGCTGATGTCCAAGACACAGACAAGATGCTCTGAACTGTTGCAGCTGCTGCATAAGCAGCAGTATGCCCGTGCATTCGCAGACCATGTTGTGGAGCTGATATCGAACGTATTCATTGCGACTATCTTCCAATGCAAGCCGGTTGCGGAGACCGGTGCAGAGCAGGTGGGCTCACTGTCATAGCTGACATCGTGACATTCATTGAAACTAACAGATGTTATTAGATGCTTCTGGATGCCTACACCCTCAAGACTGGCCTCTCGTCGCTCCTCCCCAGCCCCGCGCCAGCGGGTTTCGTAAAGCGCGTCAACGCCAGCTTTGCGAAGATTGAAGCCCTCCTCAAGACCCTCCAAGTTCAACCGTCTCCTCCCGAGGCCCTTGTCCAGGCCTATCTGGTCCACATCGCAGACCAAAACAACGCCAATTTCCGCAAAATCCTCGACCTTAAGGGCATTCGCAGTCGCCAGGACCAGAACCACCTCATAGAACTTTTCCAAATCCACCGCGCATCTGATCGCTATGCAGCAAACCTCCAGCAGAGCAACCCTATCCTGACCGCCATGCAGGCCTCCGCAACACCTTCATCCGGCACCGTCTCGCAGGGTCTCGGCCTCGGCACGGCCGCAGCATCCATTGGCGCCTCCACCCGCTTCGACCCTACCATGCTTGGGTCCGCCATCATCTCCGCCGCCAAAGACGGTGTAGATCGATTCGGGACGCCGATGAGCTCAGCCAACACGACCAACCTGACCCCAGGTGGCAGCGCCATATCCGGCGCCTTGACCAGCCCGGCCTCTACCCCTGGGCCGTTAGGACAGGCACAACCCCAAGGCGGGGAAAGCACGACCGCCGCTGGGAACCTGAACGAGAATCTGAAGAATATTGGGAAATTCTTCCGTCGTGATCTCGGTGGGTTTGGAGGCAGGTTTGGACGGAGTGGTGATGATGGCAATTGATACTACTTTTTATGTATATTTTACACCCTTCTTAGCGAATAGCATATATCATGTGTATTTGACCATCGTTTTGTATCTATATTACCCATTCGCTTCGTAGCTCTATTCTAATATCATACATCAAGACCACCGTTTGAGGCCGAAAGCCCATTTTCTGGTTACTTCTACCCATTACCACCACTCATTTCATAGAAAATTACCAAAACCCCGAGTCTTACTTCTAGCATCAACTCAAACTTGATAATGAACCCTAGTACGAATAACGCCCACAATCCTATCAATACACCACTATATACATAGTAATGTACTCATATCCAGCCGCTTTCGGCTCCTTCCTATACCCTTATTAACTAAGTATCTAGCAAGCCAGCTAAATCGTAAGTTATCCCTACCCAAAACAACCCAAGTTAAGTAGTAACTACCCGTCCAATGTAACTCCTCCCTACCCACGATCTGAGGACATATACCGAATTCTTCGACCGGCTGACATAACCTCTGTCTTCATGGTGTAGTTGGTTATCACGTGGGTCTCATATCAATCATTGAATATGACTAGGAAACATACATTTCCTGGATATCCCAAGGCCGGGAGTTCGAACCTCCCTGAGGACAGTTCTTTTTTCTTCTTTTGATTTGAAGAATTTTCGTGGTGGAGGGGTAGTGGGGGTGGTGGTTATGCGGGCCGAGATGGGGCAGGTAAATAAAATACTATGCTGGTGTGTATTGTTTGGTAGATTTTGAGTGTTGTGTGTGGAGGTATTTTTTATTTTTGGTTTTGTTTTCATTTTTTCATTTTTGCCTTGGTGTCGTGTATGAACGATTGCATGGCGAAGCGAGGGAGGTAGTTTGAATATCGCAATTTATTTACGGATACCATGAGGTAGTTAGATGTTGGCATAGGGGGTGTATAGCCATTGGTCTCAAGATTACTCTATATCGCTACACGGAGGTCTGAACCCAGAAGCATGATATACCCAAGCCGTGCTGTGTAGTCTATAAACTAAGAAACGCTCAACCCTCCGACATGTTTTCCCGGAGTCAAGAAAGGGAAAAAGAAGCTGACTCATATAACATCGTCTCATCACTCATCAAGTCCCAGAAGCCCCCATTCCCAATGACAGAAAAAGGAAAAGAGAACATTATAGTATGGGTAACCACTGCGTGATGAGGATGATGATGGTGGAAAACGCATCCAACGAAAAAGGAATCTCCATTTCATCTCCCGAATCTTAGTGCAAACGCCATCGCAGAAATAAGTCATCGCGCGAACATAACAGAACCGAGCAGTACCGGGGCCGAAACCCCTCACATGGTATCATAAGCGAATTTCATCAAGCCCCAGCACAACATCATCACTCCTCATCTAAACCCCCCGTTTACTGCGATGCGCACTGCACACGCTCAGCGCCAGGAGGAACATCCTCGTCATCCTCGTCCATGGCGCTGGCGGCACCGTGTGCGCGAGCCTGAGACGACTCGCTGCCATCAATGTCCTCCAGCTCAAAGTCCTCGATCATGGCGTCCTGCGGGGGCTGGGACTGCTCCATACGAGGAGGCAGGACCTGCTCGAGCAACTCGAGGTTCTTGAGCTGATCCTTCTCGGGGAACTTGACATCGAATTGGATGTAGAGGTTGCCGAAGTCGTGGTGGCGGTAGGAAGGCATACCCTGACCCTTGATAACCTTGATAGCACCTGCAGAGATAACGTTAGACTGATGCGCTGAAGTCGAGGCTGGAAGGGGGAAGCACATACCAGGAGTGATGACCTCGCCCGGAGCGACGGTCACGGTCAACCACCGGTCATCAAGGTGCTCAATGTTGATGGTACCACCGCCAAGAGCAGTGAGCAGGTCGATCTCGGCCTGGTAGAAGAGGTCGTCGTCCTTGCGCTGGAAGCGGGGGTGGGGCTTCTGCTCAATCTCGAAAACAACGTCGCCGGGCAGAACACCAGGCATCTGGTCACCCTCGCCGCGGAATTCAATCTTGTGGCCGTTCTTCACACCACGGTCAACGTGGACGTGGAGAACCTTGCGCTCCACGGTGGTCTTCTTGCCGTTACAGCGCTTGCAGCGGTCCTTCTCACGGATGATCTCGCCCTCACCATTGCAGTCGGGGCAAACCGTCTGGAAGCGCTGGATCATGGGACCCATCTGGCGCATCATGGTCTTCATACCGGAACCATTGCAGCCGGTACACGACTTGACAGCACCCTCCTTACCACCGCGACCATCACAACCCGGGCAAATGACTGACTTCTGCAGAGCCAGCTTCGAGACCTTACCGCGGTAGATATCCTCGAGGTTGACCTTGTGAACGTGGTGGATGGTACGAGCCTTCTTGGGGCCCTGGTCACGCATGCCACCACCGAACATGCCACCGAAACCACCGCCGCCGCCGAAGAACTGAGCAAAGAGGTCCTCGGCGCCCATGCCACCGCCAGCACCGCCATGCTCAAGACCCTCCTCACCGAGCTGGTCGTAGAGGCTACGCTTCTGGGGATCGGAGAGGGTCTCGTAAGCGGCAGACAATTCCTTGAACTTCTCAGCGGCTTCGGGGTTGTTTGTGTTCTTGTCTGTAAAGATATCGCGTTAGTAAAGACCCCTAGATCTTTCGTGAAAAGCACCGCTTTCGCGATTCAAGTTGACTTACCAGGGTGGTACTTCAGGGCACCCTTCTTGTAGGCAGTCTTGAGTTGGGCCTCAGAGGCCGTCGGGGGAACCTAACCGCCTCACCGTTAGTTTCTGTGACGTGCAAAACCAGCCAAACTTGGCGAAAACCCAGAACATACCCCCAGGATGTCGTAGAACTTAGTTTCCTTGACCATTGTGATCTGTGTCTAGAAGAGAGAAAAAAATCGAAAGGCGAAAGTTGGGCGACGGGGAGAAGCCGAGGGAAAATATAGAAGAAACAAGAACTTTTCGGAGGGACGAGACGGGGCAATCCGATCCTAGAAAACCTTACACCGGGGTATGGAACAGGCGAAACAAAGAGGGCTCGAAACCAAGGAGTGTAGAGAAATCCTTGAAAAAGAGGGAGGAGTTTGAGGAGACGAGGGGAGAGGAGTCTCGAAGGCGTGAGGGGGGACAAGTAAGAGGTGGAAGGAAGAAGGAAGAGTTGGAGAGAGAGAGGGTCCGTCCGGGTGATAATCAAAGCCAGGAGAGCGAGAGAGAGAAGAGAGAAAGCGGCGACAGGGCGGCGGCTGAGACAAGTGAGAGGGTATCGTATGTGTAATCTGATTACCAGGACCAGGCACCAATCGACCTTTGATTTGCCGCACGAGCGCAGTGAAGACTCGCCAAGAGTTTCAAGATGGGCGTATCAAATACCGGAGATACGATGGGGCGAAACTCCGGGAGTATAGAAATGCTGGAGAAGATGAGCGACCGCGCTTCAACTGGCTGGAACTGGAATTATATAGAAAAAGGTGGATAGTGGTTCTGAAAAGATCAGATCTTAACATGAAAGGAGAGATCGTCGTATGCTTTTGAACAAATTGGCATGTCCACGATGACAACGTCTCAGGCTGAATGGAGTTGTTCTCTTTGCTTCGACAAGCCCCGTCACCCGCAGCCTTGATGGCCCGAGCGTGGCTTCCGACTGCTTCGATGCGATTCCGTGTCCTTCCACCGCTTTCGCACCCTTTCCATCGCTGACAATCGCCCTGGTAATTACCGGTTCGTGACCACGGAGAGCGTTGGTTGCATCCCATTTCTGGATGTCTGACCAAATGTATCACCGGGACTTTTCTATCTTGTTCGATACTACAGTAGGGAGGGGTGGTCCTAAGTAAGCTAGTTCTTTCATGCCTCGGTAGGATGCGGCAAGGTCTACCTGGGTATTACGGTCCAATCATACACCATTCACGGGGATCCTCGTCTTCATACTACTACTACTAAGTACTACTACTTACTGCGGTGTATTGTGTAGCATCCCTCCATCCACCATCACTACTCATCATCTTACATGTATAAAATACCTACCCAGTATATTACACCCGGAAACTCCAAGCACAAAAAAAGAAAAAGAAAATAAGGAAACTGTAAAATTAAAGTTTGATGTAGCCGCCCGGATCTGCCTTTGTCTCCCAAGTCAGATTCTTTTCTTCCTGGCACACAGCGCCATTTGCCTCAGGCACTTGGAATTGTGGCGGGCGGTGGTTGATTGCCGGCTTATCGATAAGGAGAGGCGATTAGCTCGATGCGGAAGGAGGGGAAGAAAAAAGCCTGTCGGGATTCCCCACCTGGAGATTCGTCGCGATCCCCAATTGCCGGCTGGCTTCGGTTCAACTGGCTCATGCCTGGTGTACTCTACTGTTCTTCTGCTGCTGCAGAGGCAATTAATGGTTCAATTCCGGAGTACCAGACAGAAATTGGCTTCTGTGGTTCTTGCCATGATCGTGGATCAGAGGTTCAGAGAACAATCTCTGCGATAAGAAGATATACTAGTAAATAGTGCGTGGCATGGGGTCTGCGCGAGATGAACCCCGAGTTTATCAGCCACTGCCAGTTTGATCTTGTAAATTGTGAAACTGTGAATTAATGGTTACAAGTGATAAGGACGTTACCATCGGGCTCTATGCATCTAGATCGGATGTCTCATATACAATCAGCTCAATTTGTATTCAGTTATAGTTGTATACAAGGCATGAAATATTAAGCATCTTTCTTACGCTTATGCATGTCGATCCCCAAGCACACCAAAGAAGCACTTTATGCATACCATAACCCAAGAAAGTCTATCACATGCACACATTATCCATGAAAATACTATTCAATACGAATGTAACAACGTCCTCTATCAGTCTCAATGACAGCAGCTATCTTGTTATCATGGAGCTCCGCACGTCCAGCCCGATGCGGGTCAGTCCGGCAGTTAACCACACAGAGTTTGCTCCGTCTTGATGCTACCCCATCTTTCTATCTCTCTCCCAATTACCCCTCCAATCGCTCTATATTTCATATCTCAATACAGCATACAACAAGCACATACCATCATGGAGACCGATCCCGGATTCATCGCTGCTGTGGAAGAAGCCAAGCAAGGCGCTGCTGAGGGTGGTGTGCCCATTGGAGCTTGTTTGGTCTCCAAGGATGGCAAGATTCTAGGCCGCGGCCACAATATGCGCGTCCAGAAGGGTAGTCCCGTGTTGCATGTTCGTTGATCCCATCCCTTGCCTTCTGAGGGTCGTCTGGGGTTCTAATTCTAATCTCTACCGTCATAGGCTGAGATGTCCGCGCTCGAGAACTCCGGTCGTCTGCCCGCTTCGGCCTACGAAGGCGCTACTATGTACACGACCCTGTCGCCATGCGACATGTGCACCGGTGCCTGCATCCTCTACAAGGTTAAGCGCGTTGTTGTGGGCGAGAACAAGAGCTTCATGGGTGGCGAGGACTATCTTAAGAGCCGTGGGAAGGAGGTTGTGGTTTTGGATAATGCAGAGTGTAAGCAGCTGATGGAGAAGTTCATGAAGGAGAAGCCGGAGCTTTGGTAGGTTTCCCATGCATCTCACTGGACTGGTCTAGTCTTTTGTTGGAATGTACGCTGACTGTACGATGTCTTTGCAGGAATGAGGACATTTCCGTCTGAGCTTTTGAATTCGTGAAGGTGTCAACTATATTGCTGGCTAGGCTCTCATGTACATAATAAAGAATTGAAAGCTAGTTCTGGTCGCATTGAGCACCCAATTTAGACCGTCAGACGGTGGATCTCTTCGAAGAAGAACTTGAGATCATCCGGGTTGACGAAAGGAGTCACACCTGTGATACATTAGCATTTATTGAATAACCCAGCTGTGGCAGTGCTCACCGTGACCCAAGTTGGCAATCCAGCCTTGCTTGCCCTTCTCGAATCCCCGAACCATAGTCTCCACAGCCTCCGTGATAGCCTCGCGTCCTCCATAGAGAACACCAGGGTCAGCATTACCCTGGATCGTCACACGACCATTGGCAATCCGCCTAGCCTCAGCGGGGTCGTGCAGCCAGTCCAAGCCAACAACATTGTAGCCCGACTCGCAGAGATCCTCAAGACCAAACCACGCACCCTTCGCGAAGACTGTCATCGGAACAGGCTCCAGACCCATCTCCTTCAACTTCTTCGGCAGATTCGCCGAAATGTGACGCAGGTAGGGAAGAGAGAATGACTTGAAAGCGGCCGGAGACAGCTCACCCGCCCAGGAATCGAAGACCTGTACCAGCTGAGCACCAGCAGCAACCTGAAGCGCCAGGTATTCAACACAGATCTCGGCGATCTTCTGCAGGAGAGCCTGCGACTCCTTGGGGTACTTGTAGATCCACTTCTTCGACTGGACGAACAGTTTCGTGCCGCCTCCCTCTACCATGTAGCACAGCAGAGTCCACGGGGCACCGCAAAAGCCGATCAACGGCACACGACCCTGCAGCTTGTGGCGGGTGAGGGTAATGGCCTTGTAGACGTAGTCGAGCTCCGACTTGACATCCACATCCTTCTGCATCACTTTCTCGTACTGTCCATCATCGGGCGACTGGAGCGGCTCGGGGAAGTGGGGTCCCTTCTTGTCGACCATCTCAACCTGCATTCCCATGGCCTGGGGAATGACCAGAATATCGGAGAAGATGATCGCAGCATCGATGAGTCCGGCGTAGCGGTCGATGGGCTGGATCGTCAACGTCGATGCGACTTCGGGGTCGCGGCAGCATTCGAAAAAGTCGCGGCCGGCTTTGGCTTCATGGTATTCGGGGAGATAACGGCCAGCTATATAAGAAGCACAATGTGGTCAGTTATAAGAGAGACATACTTGGATCCGGGACTCGTAAGAGTGCGAAGAGAGTAGTTTGTAGAGAGAGGCGTACCTTGCCGCATAACCCATATCGGAGGACGCTGGACTTTCTCGCCTGCAATGATATCAGTCCCATCTCTTTGAATATAATGGTTTAAAATCAGAATTACCCCTAGCAGCCCTCAGCAAGAGGTCGTTCTTCAATGGCTCGAATTGATGCTGCATTTTGATGTGGGATGTGTGAGTGATGGAGGGGACCTTGCGGAGGAGGGGCCTTCGACATGCAAGTCCTGCCACCGTTCGCGGCCTCGGGCCGGAACTCGACTGGTCGTCCGTGGCTCAGGTAAGCTTCAAGCCGTTCGCAAGTCTGGAACATCTGCTTACTCTACTTCGATTAAGATGGCATAATTTACGCAGCTCGAGAATAACTATGAGGCAATGCGATGTTGATTTTATTGACATGTATGTGCTATTAAGTACCGAGAATATTCCTCCCTCGCGTCCCGACAGCGACGACCAATACAATGCCCCACAAATCCTTCGCAACAAACAACAGCCTCAAGTACTACGCTCTTCTAGTCGCTACTTGAACACAAACCCCAGGACAAGCCTCTGAGGTAATGAACAGCGCGACGGCCTTACGTCCGGGGCTACATTGAATCTGTGAACCTGAAAGCTGTTAGCTATCAGACCATTGAAAGTAATGCGTGACAAATGGCAAGTTGAATGGAATGGTGTCAGCAAAAAATTAGAGTGTTTGTTGTTGCTGTTTTTGTTCGTCAAAGCAAGTAGCTCTGGGTTAAAAATGTATCATCATATCACCGGGGAGTGGGCATGTATGCGAAGCAAGGAAAACCAAATGATTGAAGCTCACCTTTTTCAGTTCATCAGATCAGGGAACGCGACTACGTCCCTATCTAGATGAAAGAAGATCATTGTTTCATGACCATGACAATCATTTTCATTTACCCAATCGTCAAGACCGGCAAGAAAAGTATCTAATACATGGCAGTCGTATCCCGTGCAGCATTGACACGAGACGTTTAGTCGAAGAGGCCGAAGCCCATGTCCTCATCGGACTCCTCCTCTTCCTCCTTGGGAGCCTCAGCGGCGGGAGCACCACCGGCAGCAGGGGCAGCGGCAGCGGCAGGAGCAGCGGAGGCGTAAGCGTCAGGGTTGGCAATACGGTCCTTGAGCTCCTCAATCTCGGGCCAGCTGTACTCGGTCTCAACAGCAACGGCAAGAACCTTCTTGTAGCTGTTGACGAGGGAGTGCATGACAGCGGGGATAGTGGGGTAGCTGACAGCCAGGGAGATGGTGGTGATGGTGTTAATGGCGCTGGAGAAGGCCTCGAGGAGCTGAGACTCCTCAATGTCCAGGACAGCAGAGCTGAAGCACTGACCCTGGTCGTAGACCTGCTGGATGGTCATACCATAGGTGAAGGGAGAGATGTTCAGCATGTTGAGCAGGGTGGCCTCGGAGGGACCGACCTTGCTTCCAGCCTCAACGAGCTTGAGGTCGGTGGTAATTTCAATGGTACCACGAGCAATCTTGGTGGGGACACCAAGAGCCTGGAAGAAAGAGGTCTTACCGGGTTCCATACCGGTGTTACCGGCGGGGACCCAGACATCGCCAGGAGCGATGGCACCGGCACGAGCGGGAGCAGCGACACGGTTGGCCAGGATCTTCTCCTTGGTGGCCTTGAGGTCACCGTTGGTGAAGATGAAACCAACGTTACCTGTGCGGAAGGCAAATGTTAGCCAATTGACATCGCCGCAGACTCTGGAAGCAACTTCACTTACCCTTAACGAAGGGGAGCAGACGCTCGTACTCGGGGTTGTCGTTGACGAAGCCCTTGATGGCACGGCGAACCTGGACAACTCATCAGCATGCGGAACGGGCACCGGTGGTTTCAGAGGATCATCATACCATGGTGTTCTTACCCATCAGGACGACACCCTCGCCACGGAGACTCAGACGAATCTCGTGCATCTGCTGAGAGCTGACATTGTCGACACCGACAATGAAGACCGTCTTGTACTCATCGAGAAGGGCCTTGAGCTTCTCGAAGTAAGCGGCCTTGGTAGCAGACTTGCCCCCCATGTCTCCTTAATTCGCTGAAGATAGGATGTTTAAGGGCAAGTGAAATGTTTCGACTTTCGTGGTTGTCCGATCTGAATCGTGACGATGAAGTTCGAAAAGTACGGAAGGTCGCGTCGATTTTAGGAAATTCTTAGTTGTGGCCTCGCTTGTTTTCCAGTCACGTGTGGCCCACTTTCCTCCGGCTCAGTCAGGAAGGCGGTCAGGCGCGCGGAGATGCGGCCTTGATTGCGGCGGGACATCGACTTTTTACGGCGATCTACTGCGACGGCGGAGAAGAGGCCTTGCTACGTGCTTCTATATATCCTTGAGTTACACTATCAGTGAATTCTTCCAAGATGTCTGCGCACTTTCAACATCCCTTGCAATGCCTCCGCTTGGTGCAGAGGTCAACTGCGAACCTGCTGATAGGGTCAGCGGGCTCCAAGCTCTACTCCTACTCCGCAGAAACTGGCCAGCGGCTGGCGGTTTGGCCAGAAGATGTCGCTTCGAGTGAAACCAAGCCTGTTGACGCAGAGTCCGCTCCCGAGCAGGGACCCCCAGAGAAGAAGCGGAAGGTTTCTTCATCAGATTCCCCAACAATTGAGAAGCCTGCTTGGTCAAACATCCCCATAGTAACTGGCACTGCGAGCGGAGAGCACATAATTGCGCTTACCGCCGAAGATAAGTGCGTGCGTGTATTCCAGCTTCAGGAAGATGGTTCCTTTGTTCAATTGAGCCAGAGGTGAGTGAAACCGCAGTTCATTTACTCCGATACACCATTCAGAAACTCATGCTTTATACAGAGTTATGCCCAAGCGACCCTCCGCCATTACCCTCACTGATGACGACGACACTATCCTGTGTGGTGACAAATTCGGAGACGTCTACTCATTGCCACTGATTCCAAGTGACAAGCTTCCTGCGATCACAAAATCCCTCAGGAGCGCAAAACTCAGCCACCCGGCGGCAACAAACCTGACCGTGCACACGAAGGGCAACCGAAGAGCTTTGGAACAACAATTGCGTCTAGCTAGTGAAGGAAAGAGGGATGAGAAGTCCTCTGGCCCGACTTTTGAACACAAAATCTTGCTTGGCCATGTGTCGCTGCTTACGGATATGGCTTATGTCTCCCTTCCGGTGGATGAAAACAAAAAGCGCAGCTACATCCTGACTGCGGACCGAGATGAACATATCCGTGTCTCCCGTGGTCCTCCCCAGGCCCACGTCATTGAAAACTACTGCTTGGGCCACACAGCATTCATCAGCAAGCTTTGCGTGCCCCAGTGGGCACCCCAGTATCTCGTATCCGGTGGAGGTGACAACTACCTGCTCGTTTGGAAATGGGCTGAAGGCCGAATCCTCCAGAAGGTTTCTTTGGTAGACGAGGCATCAGAATCTACGGAGGTTGCAGTGCAAGGTATCTGGGCGACATCGCTGGGGAACTTGCGTATCATCCTCGTCGCGCTTCACGGGTGAGTCTTCTTTACGCCTCCCATTTATTCATTACCCAAGTACATGTTCTAACCGGAGTAGATCCTCCCGTCTGCAATGCTTCACGCTGGAATCTGACGGCAGCTTGAAAACGCAAGCCTCCATCCAACTTTCCGGCAACGTCCTCGATCTTACCCCCGTCGAGAAAGACAACACTATCCTTGTCTCCGTCGACTCTATCCGCCAGCCGGACTCAACTCAAGAATGGAGAACCAGCCCCTCCTCCCCCTCCACCCTAATTGAAGCATTCCACATCAAGTCAGGCACTGATAGCTTGGAATGGGAGCCGACCGCGGCATCCGTGACCGACAAGATCAACTCCACCGGCACGGAAGAAGTTCCAGCAACCACAGAGGAGAAGCAACGCAAGGAACTGAACGACTCGCTATATGGATTGGGGCATCTTCGGAAGAGGAAGGGTGAAGATGAGTGAACAGGGAAAATAGAGTAAAAGGTTTGGTTTTTTGCGAATAGATAATATACTCGTCGTGAGGAATGTATATACCTGCCAGCCGTCAACGAGTTATTGGAATGCTTCGGTTTTGCTAGCGTCTATGCAGTGCCTTTTCTTTCAACCGTTACTTTCAACATCAATATAAGAGAAGTAATTAGTACAGCGAGGAACTAGCTATACGGTGAAATTCCTGGACAAGATGGAGCAGTGGTGGGTATGTATTCTATCTCATGGGCACATACTCTACCATCGTTCCTAATGCTTCGATGTTCACCCTCGTCATGGCATCATAGAGCACTACAACATGCGTTATGCTTGCTTTAATGATGAATACTCTATGCATAAGATTCAGCTGTCCTCAATATTTGATCCCGTGAACTTCAATTCAAAGTATATCTGTCTAAGCGAGGTCTTCCTCCCCCGCTCCCCATGCGCTACCTGAATAGGATGCTGTAGTGCTATACCAGGAGTCAGAAATTCAGAATCGGGCTGCATCATACGGCAGCTGATGTTGCTAGACCCTCTCACAGCATGGTAGTAACCTATCTGCACTGTAACCCTGCAGAATCCTTCAAGTGCAGGATGCAGTCGAGAAAAGTGTAAGCTGCGCAGTCCATTTCATCTGTCATGGTTATTGTTGAGCAGATGATAAAAAGTTGGACCCAAGAAGATTTACGTAGATGATGCCGGTTAGTATCGTATATCAGCGGGTTGCTGGTTAGATGACTTGTAGATGCCAGATTAACTCAAACGTAGTATTACGCTCCATTGGAGGGGTACACCCAAGCTCGGTCATGTGCTCTGCAAGGACCCAGACAACAAAGCACTTGCAGGTCAGTTGTATCTCGTGACCTTCTCCGCAGTGAGACGCCAAACATCAGAGGAGAATATTAGAACTGATTCAGATGAATGCAATATAGTCACACGGACAGTTAAGCACGTTAAGCTATCGAACCCATGGTAGCGGGGTATGTGGGAGATGGCTACATGGTTGAACTAAAGTTGACGGCTGTCACGCAAGACAGTTATTGAACTTTAGATGGATGACTTCGATGGATAGGATCAAGGTTTGCAGATCATTGTTGTTGGCAGTTAGTCTGGGTCTGTGCCAGAACCGTATGTCTCACTTAGCTCCTTCTATGGTTGTTCTTATGAGGCGACTCGATCAACTTCATGTATAATGAGCACATTTCCGCTAGATGGAGGAGGCTCTAATGTTCGCATGTGCTGTGAATTCTTGTCAGCAGACCGGACTTTTTGTTGATCAAGTTCGGCCACGAGAACGTCGCATATGTTAAGTTATTTAGGAGGTAGGATTTGCAGCGGCGTTCTGTCTGATTTGTCCTTGCGCTGATAGGTCTGCGAGGAAATGGAGGTATCGGCACACGAAGGTAGGAATGTGAATGGTTGGGCTCATCGTTCGATGGAATTGTCCATAGCACGGAGATGCCGCAGCTGCAGGGGTGTAGTAGACTAGTTGGAGAGGTATCTCCGCGCAGCCAAGGGACAAGGCAACTATTGCGGAAGAGGATCCCGCTGTTTAGTCAGAGTAATGAGAGATTAATCTACAAAAGTGGCTCTTCATTTTGGACACGGTCGGACCGAAGGACGTGCTGCTCACCGAATCGTTCGATGTCTATACTCCGTCGGCATGCATCAAACCACATCAAATTAATCTTCCAATGGTTTCCCTCGACAGCCGCATCACGTAGTGATAAGATCGATGGCGCAATTCTGGGGAACCTCCTTAGCTCGCAGCTATTTTTTAGGTACATATGCACCAGCTAAGCCGGGCAATCCTTCTGAGACACTCCCTGGTCAGCACGATCTGTTTGATTGGTTGGAAGGTAGCTGCTCCGAGGAGACATCCTGGTCGCATAAATTTTATAGATGCAGCGTTGGGTTGGATGATTTTTAGAACCAATGCAGTTGCTAATGGAAAAGCCAACAAGGTTCAGAAGTGATGGTGCATACGGCCTGAAGCCGCCGTCAACATGACCTGTTAGAGACAGAATATCTCTTTCCATTTGGGGTTGGGTGAGCCGTGCGAGACAGACTATGGGATTGTAGATCAGCAAGCAGCAGGTAAGCTGTCTTGTCGGGCTTCCATGTTTATCTGATGGGAAAGGAAGTTTGGTTCCCAGCAATTCCAAGACCACGATGCTGCCAAGCCAGGTCGGCAAAGTCTCGTTGGAAAAAGTGAAAGGCAATCTTGGTCTTGTCCGTCCATTCAAATTCCATCTGTTGCATCCACAGTTACAGAGTAAATAAACGGTGGTACGTAGTCAAGACTGTCCCGTTCGCTTGTACTACTGCCGCTTGCTTAGCAGGCGTAGGAGTAGGTTTGTGACTTCCAGACATATTGCTGCCATGGACATGTGGAAATTATATTTAATTTATATCGGATTACAATGAGTAGGATGGAGTATGTAGAGTCATCTTCGATGACCCTGAAAATTCATTTATCCAGATCTACATCGTAGCTCTCCAGAAAGAAACCGATTCTGGAAGTCCAGGCCGATACGAGATGTGTACTCGTCATCCGGGCATCGGAGATAGATTACTAAGGAAATAAAGTGGGAAAAAATAGAAAAAAAAAAAAAAAAAAAAAAGGAGATTATTGGCGGCAAGTCAGTCCAGGAGGCAAACAGAGGGAAAAACGAGGAGGGGGACCAGGAAGTTACGGAGAAGTTCCATCTTCTCAACAAGGGGGGAAATGGGAAGAGGGAACCTAACAGAACGGCCCAGCCGATACTTGGACGAAACCGCGCCGCCCACACGTGGACCGGCCATCTTTCACCATCAGTCGGAGCGATGGCGTGTTCTCGCACTATTCCCATTGGTCGCCGCCTGCCCGCCGCGGATGCTGCTCTCCAGTAGTCAGGGACCATTCTCATTGGCCCATACCCTAATGCTGACCCAATTCCGGTGGGCGGTGTGCCTTGGCAATATGGCGGATGGAGTCCACTCCAACTTACTTTCCCTTTTGGCTCCTCCCCTCTGCGAACGTCGGACAATTCCAACTGGATCCATTCTGGAGAGAAACATTCCCTTTTTCAATCGTCATGGTGGGTTGCGACTACCGAGACAGAACTCCATCCGTTCGGCTCTTTTCGAGTAGTGAACCATATTATCATAATGATGAATACCAAATCAGTGAACCAGCCGGAGGTTAATCCTGTCCCGGATGCTCGACTTGCACACTTGATACACACTCCCTCATATGCAATGCGCAAACCATGGGCCCCGGCCAGTGGGCGGGCACCGGCTCCACGGCTCATCGTCATCTTTCGCTTCCAGACCCCCGGCCAAACCCACCTAAACGGCGCTCTTACGCCAGCTTTCTCTGACGAGCTTGGCCTCCCTGCAGGCTAGGGAATTTTTCCTTAGCTGCGTGTTGACGACGGGCCTGTGAATATTCCAGACGGCGTGCTTTTGCCCTTGACGATCCCTGGTGGATCAGCTGCCCCATCACTGCGCGTTTCTTGCTGATGCTCCCTTCCCGGTTAATAATAGTCGTATCATGGTCGTCGTTGTCAATGCCATTTTGGCGTAGAATACTCATTGATCGGCTTGCATCAACTCCCGTTGCGACGTCCGCTCTCCCCCACGGAGACCCGTGTCACCTTACTCCTTCTGACAAGTCTAATCACTTTAAAACTCTCTGGACTGACTCCCCTCGAACTACTTTCACTGCTTGTTCATTATTATCCTTCTTCTCATTTTTGCTTCTGTGGCTATTTGTGTTGTTGAAACACTTGCGTGGGACGGATCTGCTGGTCTCATCTTCCGCTCGACCACATTTTTCCCCGTGCGCCACATCTACATTATATTTCCTAGCGGAACTCAGAAAGCCGCGTGTGCTTTGCTTGGACTTTTGTTCTTTCATCTGCTTCTATCATTTCCATATTTATCTGATAGATCTTTTTGAGTTCATCTTGCTCGTGTAGCCTGGATCCTGACGTTGAAAAGAGGGTCGAGTGGGCATTTTGATATTTCGCGTTCATAGCTCCCGATCACGACATCGGCGCTTGGCTTCGGATATTCATTTTAAAACCACACTACCTGCCGCCTCCACTTTTATATCGTTTGCCATCAACCTTGCCATGGGGCTTGCCTAAATACACCCCTGGAAGATATATTACCTTGGAGGAATCTGGAATTCTCTTTTTCAATCACTCGAGCATTGTCGTTGAGCAGCTCCGGTCGTCAACGCCAAATTTCCACTGTCCAAGTGGCTCGGGGCACCGTCTTGCCCTAGAATCAGTCCCGTCCTTCCATCCGAGGCCTTCGTGACAACCATGTCGCAAGACCTCATGACCAAGACTGGCCACGGCCTGGCCAAAGTCCTGGGTATCAAATTGCCTTATCGGGATCCCCTTGGAGCTCACTCCGACCCCGTCACTCGTGGCGAATCGACCTTCTCATACGGCACCGTTGATACATACTCTTATTTGGAGCCGGAACCGACCACTGCCGAATGGCTCAAAGAAATCTGTCCAACCTGGCATGATGTCCTTATGTACTTTTACAGACTGTTCCCCTTCCTCTCATGGATCACGAAGTATAACCTGCAATGGTTCTTCGGTGATCTTGTTGCTGGTAAGTTGCTACATCGGGTCCTGGTGCTCTGTGTGTATGTGTGGCGAAAGGATCTGACTTTATTCACCAGGTGTGACTGTCGGTGCTGTCGTTGTCCCTCAGGGAATGGCCTATGCCAAACTCGCCGAACTACCAGTGCAGTATGGTCTCTACTCATCGTTCATGGGTGTACTGGTTTATTGGTTCTTTGCCACTTCCAAGGATATCACTATCGGGGTAGGTGTCCTCTTCTAATACCTGCCGCTTTCGAGTCAAACCTTCTAACAATATGCCTTCTAGCCCGTCGCTGTAATGTCCACGCTGGTCGGAACGATTGTGCTTCAGGCTCAGAAAGAGATCCCGGATGTCCCAGGGCATATCGTTGCATCTTGCCTGGCTATCATCTGTGGTGCCATCGTCTGTGCCCTCGGTCTCCTTCGGCTCGGCTTCATCGTTGACTTCATTCCCCTTCCTGCAATTTCGGCATTCATGACGGGATCCGCTCTAAACATCGCTGCCGGTCAAGTCAAGAAGCTGCTGGGAGAATCGGCAGATTTCTCCACCAGAGGCTCGACCTATATGATCATAATCAACTCGCTGAAGTACCTTCCTACTGCGGGTATTGATGCTGCCCTTGGTGTCACAGCCTTGGCCATGCTGTACATTATCCGTTCGGGTTGCAATTATGGTGCTCGAAAGTACCCTCGCCACGCTAAAGTGTGGTTCTTCGCGTCGACGCTGCGAACTGTCTTTGTCATCCTGTTCTACACCATGATCAGTGCAGCTGTCAACCTTCACCGCAAGGATAACCCGATGTTTGATCTTCTGGGCAGTGTCCCAAGAGGTGCGTTTGATACCTGATATATCTGTCTCTGAGGATAGGAAACTAACTTAATATTCGTGCCCCTCAGGTTTCCAAAATGCGGCTGTTCCTGTTGTCAACGCCAGGATCATCAAGGTTTTCGCCAGTCAGCTCCCTGCTTGCGTCATCGTCCTCCTTATCGAGCACATCGCCATTTCCAAGTCATTCGGCCGTGTCAACAACTATACCATCGAGCCGTCCCAAGAATTGGTCGGTATTGGTGTGACCAACCTTCTTGGTCCTTTCCTGGGCGCGTACCCTGCTACCGGATCCTTTTCCCGGACCGCCATCAAGTCGAAGGCGGGTGTTCGTACTCCCTTGGCCGGCTGTATCACCGCCATTGTTGTGTTGCTCGCCATCTACGCCCTGACCGCCGTCTTCTTCTATATCCCCCAAGCTGCCCTTTCTGGTGTTATCATTCACGCTGTCGGCGATTTGATCACGCCCCCCAACACTGTGTATCAATTACTGGCGCGTACTCGTCCC